CTCCATCATTTGCACATAGCCATAAGGCATTCCTGGTAATATTGGTGGTCGTAAACCTTCTTTACATATATCAAGAAATAGAAATGTAGAGAAAACAGAAAAAATGAATAAATAATTTTTTTAATTTGATCTAAATTAAATTCAGCTAAATCGTGATCAAATTTTTTTTAAACATAAGCAAGCTCTGGCGGTTTCAGATCGAATGATATGTCTAACCCAAAGAAAATAACCGCTCACTTGTATAGTTGATGTCATGTTAATTAAACCTTGCAACCGAGCAAAGGATATACGTAACACCGGTTGCTTGGATGGCTTAAAACTAGTGTGATAAGTCCAAGATTAAATAGGAAACCTATTCTTATTTTTCTTGAAAGTGCTCAACACCGTAAAGTGGAAGCAGATACTGCTTACCAGTCAGTAATAGACTATCGACATAACTTATTATGGGTCTGTACGGACACTTTTTATTGCCTTAAATGGAAAGATCATCTTAAAAATAAAAATATTCGGAGAACTTTGGCCGTTTTAAGGGTGTAGCCTCTGATATGATTGATTGAGGCCCTATTTCAAAATAGCTCGTTACCGAGGGATGGTTAATTCAATGACAAAAGTTGATAAGTTTAAATGCAACAATGCTGTTGATTGTATTTGTACAATAGAACTTTTCTTTAATGAAACCCATTGATCCAAATGATTGTTGTTATCATCACTTGTCAATTGCATATTATTGAGCAAGCATTCCTATAAATTTTCTTTAGTATTCGCGTGATACGGAAACATGATTTCCGCCTTAAAGATATACATAATAATAAACATAAACATAGATATCAGGTCATATTTTTTTATTGACCTATTACTATGATCATGTAAGTATATGGTCATAGGATTTGGTCATAGGTTTGTCATAAATTTATTGACCCAATAAATTTACAAAATACATCTTTTTTTATATTGTCTTCTTTTACACTTTCAGAAATTCAATACCAAAAAAATTTAATCTTTCGCTTTTTTGAATATTAAAAATTTTTTCTCTTGGAGAAAACCTTTAATATATAATTTTGATTAGTGTCAATGATATCAATCATCAAAATTCTTTTTGGTCATTAGTTGTGAGACCATTACTAACATTACACACTAACACTAATACGGAATTTGTGATTTTTTCCGAAATTCAAAAGCGATTATTATTACACGTTAGCTATTTTAATATCAATTACATATTTAAATAATAAACAAATATATATTTTTTTTTTGACTAGAAGTTTCTAAAATTATTTTTGTGTGGCTCATGTTCTTTAAAAGGATGCCCAGGAAACGATTTTTGTATATATTTAAAAACATCTCATGATACACTATACTTCCAGAATCATAATAACGATTGCGTGACACGATTTTTGATGATATGCGTATGTGCATGTGATAGATAACTCTGAATATGGTAAACACTTTCCGTTTTTAGACATAATATTCCAATGCGAGTGAGCATGCAAGATTCGTGATACCTTTGAGCATTAAAACAATGTTTCAAATACTCAAATATTTATTGGTGATTAAGACAGCGGAATATATTTAGTGAATGGTTAAATATTTTATCAGATTTTATTAATAGAACCATTGATTAAATAATTAATTAAATTTATTGGCCATGTTTCATAATTTTATTTTTAGAAATTGGTTGGAAAATCCGATATCATTTATCTAAAGATATTCCACTCAGATATGATTCTAATGAAAACGAATTTATTTTTTTACTAATATTATTAATCACTATTATTATTAAACATAAACAAACAAATAAATAAAAATGGATTTTTTAGCATGGAAAAATATTTTCGGAAAAGGCATGGTTGATTTCTTGGCAATAATGAGTCAATCCCCCAAAATTGTTTTTTTTTTTTTTTTAGTGACAAAAAGTTCTTTTTTATATTTTTGGAAAAGCATGGTTTGTTTAATAATAACATTTTAATTGATGGGAAAGTATTTTTTTTTTTTTTACATTTTCAAAAAGGCATGGGTTGTTTAATCAAAATTATTCTCTTTTACATTTTCAACAAGCTTGGTTGATTCCTTTAACAATAATGAATTATTTCCAAATTGTTACTCTATAATTCAGACGCAGCAATCAATTGTTTAAAATACTTAAAATACTTGAATAAATGATCGACTAATCGAATTTCCAAATTTAGTGGCACAATAAGTCAGACGCAGCAATCAATTGTTTAAAGTACCTTATATATAATATAAATAACCGACCGACTTATTATGCCTTTTTTTAGTAGCAGGAAAGAATATTTACATTTTCAAAAAAAAACCCCCTTGGTTGATTCCTTTAACAATAATGAATTGTTACGTGGCAGGTAAAGTATTTTTACGCAGCAATCAATTCTTTAAAGTGCTTGCTTTGATAATATAAATAAATGATCGAGTTTTACATATGTATTGTGCCTTTTTTTAGTAACGGGAAAGAATCTTCTTTATGTTCCCAAATGAGTTAATTACAAATTCAATGGCGGAGAAAATATTTTCAAATTACACGTGTAAACTCAATTAGTTAGACGCAGCAATCAATTGTAGCGGAAAGAAACCTTTACATTCTCAATCAAAAAAAAAAAAAAAACTTGGTTACAAATAATGAATTGTTACGTGGCAGGAAAAGTATTTTACGCATGTAAACTCAAATAAGTTAGACGCAGCAATCAATTGTTTAAAGTACTATATGATAATATAAATAAATGGCCGACTTACTGTGCCTTTTCAGTAGGAAAAAATCTTTACATTTTTTTAAACAATAATTAATTAATTCCAAATTGTTACGTGGCAGGGAAAGTATCTTACATACATAAATCAGACGCAGCAATCAATTGTTTTTAAAGTACTGCTTGATAATATAAAAATAAATGATCGACCTATCGAGTTTTACATATGTATTGTGCCTTTTTTTAGTAGCAGGAAAGAATTCTTCTTTATGTTCCAAATCAAATTTAATGGCGGAGAAAATATTTTCATGAGTCAAACGCAGCAATCAATTGTTTAAAGTATTTGATGCCTTTTTTAGTAGCAGGAAAGAATATTTACATTCTAGAAAAAAAAGGCTTGGTTAATTCCTTTAACAATAATGAATTGTTACGTGGCGGGAAAAGTATTTTTACGCATGTAAACTCAATAATTCAGACGCAGCAATCAATTGTCAAAAATCTGTTATACCAAGAAATCCATTATATTAAAGAATTTTATTATTGGACTCAATCAAGATTTTTAATTAGCTCCGTCAATTCAAGGTATGCTGTGTATATTAACATTAATTTGAGCTGGGTTGGAGGTGATCAGGTTGTAATGAGAATTGATGTAAATTTGAATTGTTTGAATTGAATAAAACACGATTGATAAAAAAAAATTTTTTTTTTTGAAATTTATGAATTTATTGAAAATATACGTATTTTAAATTTGAAGAGTTGAATTGAGAGAGTGTGTGTGTGTGTGTGTATGTGAGCTTTGAATGCAATTGATATTGTCGTAGCCAAGGTAATAATTAGATGCACGCATATAAGAATTTCTAAAAAAAAAAAAAAAGGGAAGACAACCGAATAAAAGGAACTTTATAGAAGCCTTTAAACTTTGTTCTATTTATTTACAGTTAATCCAAGCTTTCTAGGTACAAGAAAGAGGCAGTAACCGAGAACTAAAGTAAATTTGTAAGTTGATTAATTGAAAGAAAATACCGAGTTATTATTATCGGGAGCTGTTTGCAATCAATTGACAAGAGCGGCCCAAAAGTTAATCCATTATCAAAAAGCAACCTTGCAACATCGCCATTTTACAAGAATCAGAAAACTGTAAAAATTTATTACTCCATAATTTAGCTTTAAGAAATGAAATAAAAATAGAATAAAAAGATAAATTAAAATAATTATAACGAATAAACTTATAATATGGTCATTCATCATCTTTTAGTGGATAATAATGAAATCTTTATTTATCTTTGCTTAATATTTTAGAGAAAACGAACTATCCTTACTTGCATAACTTTTTAAGCTTTTTGATTTAGCAACCTCTTTCATCTAATATTCTACTTTTATGATGTGCGAATCACTACCACCACTGCTACTGTTGTTATCATGATTTTATATTTGAACTTTTTTTCAGCAAATCTTGAAAGACTACAATAGTTGGTCTTTTTGATGGATCCGCATCCTAACGCTTCTCCATCATTTGCACATAGCCATAAGGCATTCCTGGTAATATTGGTGGTCGTAAACCTTCTTTACATATATCAAGAATTAAAATGATGGTTGTAAGCCCTATCATCAAATGGCGGGTGTCCTTCAAATATTTCCCACATTAACATCCCAACACTATAAATATCTGATTCTTTTTGCCTCTAAGTAGTTCGGGTGCAACATATGATACAATTCCATAGACTTTATTTGATGATTTTTCAACTTTGTTACTTCTTCAAATTGCTCAAAAGGTATCCACTCTAAAATATATCCTGGCAAAGATGATTCTAATTGACATTGTTGAATAAAATCATCAATTATGTTATTTCCAGATGTCCAATTAGTGAAAAGTCTCTGTAATTGTAAACTAACACAACCTTCACAGAATCTATCAGAGTATCTTGTTAATTTACACTCATTGCATCTTTTGCATTATTTAATTCAAAATTATAAATAAACTCTTCTTTACAATATTCCTTTCCATTTCAGAAAGCTCCTGGTTTTTTTTGACTAATGAAAAAAAATAATCTTTCTACTTTCAGAAATAACTATTGCCTTATCATGCATTTCATTATAAGTTTATATATGGATTTCCTTCTTTCTAATGATAATAATTTATTATGTGACATTATATAAAAATAAATTTAACTTGCTAATGACAGTTACTGTATTTCTTTTTTTCTTTGAGAACCAAATAAATAATTCAATGAGATTAATTATTAATTGACAAATAATTATCTACTACTACTACTATATACTACTGTCATCATGGTAGTGTGCGACTTTTTTACGCTAATAAATTATTAATATAAATTTTGAATAAGCATTGCAGCTTTAATATCCATCATCAAACTTTAGTGATTGATTCATCGTGATTCAAACAATAAAGAAGTTTTAGCATTCTTCTTTTTCTTTGTTTAGTATTTTTATCACTTTTAAAACTTCAAAATTAAACTTACAAACACCTGCACCTAAACCTGTCTCATGTACTACGCAACAATTGTTCTGCGTACTAATATTGATCAGCCTGTGTGTGTTTCAAACTCGGGCACTAAAGACAGCTCAAACACATTAATATTGATACTAATTGACAATGAAGTTAACTACGCGTAATAAAAATTAAATTCTAGTAGCAATAGTAAAAGAAAGAATTGATGAATGACGAATTTAATATTTACTATGAATTTATTATTATATGCGCTGATTTTGTTTGAACCCCAAAATTCAGTACGTTATGAATACTTTATACTAGCAAAAACGCATTGGTTTTGAGGCGGGGTCATTGGTTTGACGGGCTGTTGAATAGTAAAATAGTTTTTAGCAGAAAAAATAAATTTTTTAGGGTTAATTATCATTCTACTAACCAGTTTACACATTAAAAATACTTTGTGTTTAACGCCAAGACTAGTGTTGGTCGCCAAAACTATTTTGAAGAGACGAAAGTCAAAACTAAAATTAAAAGTTATAT